ATCTTTAGAATGAATATGTTTAAGAGCTACTAATAAATTTGAAAAGACTTACCTTCTAAATTTTATTTAATAATGATTTGAATTTCCATATTTCTCAAGTATTATAATATAATTTAAATTATGAGATATAACAAAAAATTAAAGGATGAGCTACAAATTATAATTAGAGGAACTTGACAAAAATAAAAATTAATTAAATAATTTTTATAGTCATAATTCAATCTACGTTTAATGACTAACTTATTTTTTTAAATCCCATTTTTGGTGATTAAACATTTAACTAATTTAGTTATTTAAAGTAAAGCTAGTTTTTATTCATTATCAATTACAAAATAATCGTCTTTACTTATTTATTTTTATTAATAGCTGTTTTCAGTGCAAATTTATCTAGATCCTGATTGAATTTCTTTTAGAAGAACTTAATTATTTGAAACTATTCCTTCCTTCTTCATTTAAGTGCAAAACTAACAAAATTTAGAAAGATTAGTCTATTATTTGTCAATCTTATTATTATCACTTAGAATTTGAGCAATTAGATAATGAACCAATGGTGTCAATTTAACAATTCCATTATTATTATTTACTCATCAATAACATTGACCCTTCTTGACTTTCTTCAGAACTACTATAATAGATCATCTTAGTTAAAAATTTCTTAAAAATAGTCATTTTTCAACCATCCTCCTTCTTTGGAATATCTATCAACAGGATCAGACTTTAGCATTTTCTTTAATATATTCTTAAGAATTTAAGGACTCTTGAAAAAATACAAATTTGAATATATCTTTGTTATTTGTTTAAGAAAATAATGAATTTGACAGATCTTTTTTTGATTATATTATTTCTTTATAATTAGATCCTTCAAATGGTTGTGCTTCAATGATCAACATATAAAATACAATTCCTGCATTAAAAATATCACATTTTTCATTATAAAATGGACAATTATCAATGTACGTAAAAATTACAGATTCTACAAATCCTGGAGTTCCACATCTTTTATAAAGTGGTTATTAGTCAAATATGAGTGCTAATCCAAAATCAGCTATTATTACATCTGAATCTTTATCTTTGGTTCTTAATAATAGGTATTCTAGTTTCAAATCTCTATGCATACATTTTTTTATGCATAGGATACAATTCAGTTGATTTAAGAAAGAATTAACTTTAATTATAGTAGTCAGAGTGGGCCATAAAAAAAAGTTTATCCACTAATTTTGAATAATCTAGAGATGATAAAGAACCTCAATCTTCAGACTTAATTTATATGGATGAATACATCAAATTAGAAATTTACGAAAATATTTAGCATAATAGATATTCTGTAAATTTAAAGCAATAATATAAATGTTCAATGAAATATATATTTTTGGTTGAAAATAAATTTGTTTTCTAAATAAATTATAAAAATAGCTCAGCAATAAGATCTTAAAGTTAAAAATTATATATGGATCAAAATAAATATTTGGAGATATGTAAGATATATTTTTGAGTGAATATTTATTTCACAAAAAAAGACATGAACTATTTTTTTGATTAATATATAAAATATGATGATAAATAAAATAATTTTTTGTTTATGTAATCTTAATTTCTAAAGTACAAAATCTACTAGTTCTATAAGAATGGTTAGGTAAAATTTATTTAGACAATTGATAATTTAAATATTCCAAATAATATAGTATATAAAATAGATAATGAATCAAATTTTTATAGTGACAATTTTGTCCAAGAAATTAATTTAATAGGCTTAATCCTTGTAATTTTTTTAGAATGAATAACTAAGAGAAATACTATTAAAAATTATACTAGACTTGATTTCTTCTATTGGAATTTGAATTTCTATGATTCATTTTGATTTTTATGGATAAAAGTGTCTCTTTGTTTTAGAATCTATAAGATTCTTTTGAGGTGTGTAAGGATGGAGATGTAATTGAGGATAATATATTTACTATTTTTGTTCTTAGACTATTGATTTTTGTAGGATTAGATGATTGTAGATTGTTTAGCATCTTTTGGAAATAAAAACTAAATTTTATATGAAGACTTTATTAATAATATTATTAATATTGGATGAATCCAGATACAAAATTACCCCTTTAATATATCTAATATTTAAATATTACAATTTTCTCTTTTTAGCTGATTCCATTTGTTTATAATATTTACTTTATAATTCTCTTAATATAATGATATCTTCCCTATAAATGATTATGAGCATTATCCTTTATGTAACTAAGCTTATAATTTTACTATTATCTCTACTGTAACTCTTTAAAGATCCTTCTGTTGGTGAACAAACCAACAGACTTTATTAATATGGTTACAATAAACCTTGTATTATTATTAATTAACATTTAATAGAACATTGTTTAATTAACATGCATTTATTTCATTATTAAATGCATTCTGCTTT